TCAAAATGTATTCCGTCTACACTAAAACGCAAAGCCGGCGACGACGTTTTAAATTCCTTTGGTTTGAAGAGCGTTTTCGAAAAGCTCTGTTTTCGTGACGGATTAGTGTGGACGGTAGGCCTAATAGTAGAACTAATATAAAGCTGGGAGTTCAAATTTCTCCGTCATAGTGTGGTCAAGGCCTCACTTTGGTATGAAATAAGATACAAAACACATATTTATGAGGCCAAGCTTGAACGAGGATGTGGGAAATAATACACGTTGATCTAAAATAGCCCAAGAATTTTAAGAAATTATTATCTCTTGTTAAGCAGACCGAGAAGAGCCCCTCACTCCTCTAGAGAAATGCGTCGTAGGATTTATTCTATAAAATGGCTACAACTGCAGTGTATTTGCCGGTGAAAAATAGCAATTGGTTACGGGCAAATTATAACGCAAACTGCAGACACGATGTTCTATAAATGTCGATACTTTTCTTAGCAGATACCAACCCTCCTCGGTGAATCCAAACGTCCTTGTCATATACTCCTTCCACGTGACCTTGTCGTTGTTATTCATGTCCAGATCTCTAAATATGGCGTCCACGTCCTCGTCAACAGTCCACTTCTGCATCTTGTGTCGAACCCAGATCTCTAGCTCGGCCTCCTCTACAAAGCCATCCTTATTGATGTCGATACGAGGCACTAACATTCTGGAGAAATGAAATGAGATGACGAAATCTTACCTCGTTTTGCTTTGAAAGGCAATCATGTCTTTCGCAACAATCAAATTACTCAGACGTTGTGTAACCGATGAAAATATTTCATACAAAAACATTTAAATGCAGGGCATCGCACGACACACAAAGGCTCTGAGGAGCTGCTTCCATATTTAATTTTTCGTAGAGGGTTTCTGCCATACCAGTTTGGTAACTCTGGCCGGCGGGAAAAATAGCGTTACTAATCATGCATTTCAAATTGTTACGACTTGATTCCATAAATCCCTAGAAAAATTCCAAAAAGTGCAGTCCAGTCGAATATCATTCTCCTATAACGCGCTTTTAACGAAGAACTGACTTTGAGGTGAACAAGATTTGGTGTGCAAATCAAAAAGGTAAAAAAACAACATCAGCGATCGAACCGAAAGAGGGAATAAAGTAAGCATAAATTTAAGTTCATTAGTTGAAGTAGAAAGATCGTTTTGGCCAGGCGACGAATTTTTCAAGGTTTTTTTCAAGGTTTTTAGTAACGCTTAAAATTAAACGAACCAACAAAGACTATTCAGGCGTAAAATTGAAAAGAACAGGTTCATTACACGTCGCTATGCATAAATTTACCTCAGTCCCAGAACAATTTTAAGCAATACCACTTTTGAATTGATCATGAGAAAATGCCTGATCGAGCCACAATCGATTTGTTTTTGCGAGCTACATAACAATATTATCACTCGTAGTTCTAAAAGCATTAGTTCTAATATGAAAAAAGTAAGCTTCTTAAATGCACAAGCAAGTAAAATCGCGGACACTAGTTACCTGTCATACAAGGACCAATGAGCAAGCGACTCGCTAAGATCTTGCTGCAGGTAAGGTACTAAGAGTACTAAGTTTGGATCGAGGTTCAATGATCATTGTAATGCACAAATCATTAAGAGAATTTTGAGAGACGCAACAGCGTTTGGAATATTTGCTCAGCTGTTTATTTGTTGAAGGAATAATTTATTTGGCATGTTAAAGAACCGCGCGTGGATTTTTTTTTTGATCAATTATTATTATAATAAATGAAAAAAAATATTGGAAAAGAAATCATCGGGTAGGGAAAAGTTGTTCGTTATCGTAGAGGTAAAGAAAAATATTTCTAGTCCTTTTATTTGACAGGCGATGATAATAAATACACAAACAGTACGAGGGGTTACGATCTTTAATAAACTCTCCGTTCTTGTTATATATATATATTTTTAGATTTTGCCGTGATTTAGAATTCTAATTGAATGTAATATCATTAATTCGATGAACAAGTTGCGATCGAAATAGATGATCGTAACGTTAGATTTGTTTAGAAAATTACAAATTCCAAACAAATCTTTCGTAATGGATCATACAGAAGTTTATCCACAATGTTGGGATTTTTTAGTTAGTAACACAGCGCCATTTAGTATTGGACGTTTACCAAATTATGGCGTCTTATTATAATCTTGATATCTATATTAGTGACTGTATTGGTTTGTAATTATTCCAGTTTTGTTTTTAAACAATGTATAGATTACCTGAGACGTCTCCTGGACTCCTGAGGGGAAAGTTTTTCAAACTCTTTAGCCAGCTTCTCTCCGAGAAAGGCGACGTGATCGTCGTGATTGCTATGTGTCTGTTGCCCGAAGCTGTGCTCAGAATGCGACACAGAACAGCTGAACAGTGAAGCGAGAACGACGAACAGAGAAAGAGAACGGCGCGGCTTCATGTTAAGACCTAGCTCAATTTCCATGCGTTAGAAAGTTTGTTCGTTGAAGAGTACGGAATCGATTACTTGTCTTGTTATTTACGCGGCCATGTTTAGCCAGCTGTGACGCGTGGTAGGACCACAGGTGCGCCACGTTCCCTAAGCAAAGCTACTGGTCCGTCGTGGACTGGATCCAGAGCATTCATGAAATCTGGTGCCCATTCCCAAGATCAGGCTGATCTGTCCGCTTCGTGTTTACGTTCCCTAGAAGCGTTCACGAATTTCTAAGACGTTTTCCTAAGCTAAACTTCTCTCGGTTTGGTCCTGTACCTTTTTTTTCAACCAAATGAAAACAAGGGATATATATTCGACTACGGGTTGCAGCGACATATTCCAAACAGACCATATTGGTATTCTCGGAATTGAACTGGAACTGGCTTGCAACTGAGGCTAATACAGGGAGTCTATTCAAATGGAAATAACATTTCATCATCCATCAATCAGTCGCCTTTTGCCGCCACCTCTGCCCCCGCTAAATGTCTAGGATCCGAGATAGTATTTATCCCTTTTTAATGATATTCGCTCGCATGAGCCTCCATTGCAAGCTAGTACCAGTCCAATACCGCGAATACGAATATGGTCTATTAATTTATACTCTTGGCAAACCAAACTAGGAATGGGAAAGCTAATTTTCTGGTTGGAGTGAAATTATACAAGATGAGGGTAGACTAGAACTGAAATAAACTCCTTTTATTGATTTGTTTTTTAATTAAAAATATATTATCCGAGGATGTTAATATAACTAACAGTTGACCCTATAAATAAAGTCATCATTATTTTATTATTTAATAATTATTTATCATAAACGACAGTCGTATTCTAAAAACTGAAGTGCTAACCGTAAAGCTGGACTGTCTCTGTCAGGCACTTCGCATCTTTTTCCGACAACAGTATAAACTACTGTGTAAATACTTTTTCATTAAAATAATATAAATATAATATAACATATAACTGCTTCTTATTGCAAATAATAACGATAATGAAGATGAACATTGTTAAACCTCAGATTTTTGGCAGCTTTTGGCTCAACTTTTATCCGTTATAAATATCTTTAAAAACTAATATATTATAACATAATGTTTTCCGGTCAATAATTTAAATATCTCTGTGTTAAGTTACAATAATGATGCATTTCACACAGCGCATGAGCATTTACGCGGATATACTCTAGTCTGAAGGGCCCCGTTTGCTAGGCGGACGCTGACCGTCTGGTAATCCAGTTCCACACATGTTCTCTTGCCGTACTTTTTAAGGGTACTTTCACAACCGGTAAGCCCTGAAACTTTCTTACAAATGGGGAACGTTTTGACATCGCCGCTTGATAGCTGGACCGTCTGGTAGTTACCAGTGTAACAAGGGCCTAAAGAAGACCTCTTCTGTCTCAAAACAGGTCTGGCTTCGTTCAGTTGGATTATGTTATCTGAACTGAACTGAGACTGTACTGCTTCATGGCTTGATGAATCTTGTTCTGATAATCTAAGGACATCAGCTGGATTCTCTTCTCGTTCAGTTGGATTCTCATTTGTCTCATTCAAGATCGTGTTTAATTCTTCCACAGCTAAATCAAGCATTTTTTCAATGTTGTCGTTGCTGGTTGATGTGATAGCTCGGCCATTTCCACGGTGAAGAAAAACAGCGAGAATAATTGCAATAACCTGCGAGCCCAAAAACAACACTAAGATTGATTGTTTATTAATTATCAAGAAAGTTCAACACGTAATGTAGATCTAACGCCAAATTCTCACAACTCCTATTAGATGAAATCTATGGTGACATGTGAGGAGAATTAATACTTAATAACAGGGACCAAACAGTTAACTTGAAGTTGAGAAACAATCTTTGTGAAGAAGTTTGGTTTTTAGTATCTTTATAATGGATGTGATTAGGTCAATAGGCTGGAAGACGGATGAAAAATAATTTCTCCTTGAAAGTAAATTGTCAACTTAGCGTACAACATTAGTGTTCAGTTTGAAAAGTGCTCAGTTTCTTCCTTTTAAAATTAGATTGAATGGACTATTGGATAACTTTGAAGCATTTTGTGCGTTTATAAACAATCACAACGCATTCTTACCTTAATAATCTCCATGACTTAAGTTTCTCACGAACGTTTGCTTTGATATATGTTGCCTGTTCTTCTCGGGGAAGATTTGTTGAAGACTTTGATTTGATTCCCAGCAAGTAACCCTCCCCTTAAATACAATTCTCAGCGCTCCTGATTTGGAGCTGTAGCCAATGACAGGGAAAGTACTGAGGATGGTTCAAAATTACTTCATCTGTCAAAATTAATTTTGGAAACAGTTTCAACCTCGTGTATGTTACTTTACAGTTTCAGTAATAACGTATTCGATTCTTTAGATTTTGTAACGTTTGTAATGTTATAGCAGTGAATTGCTTTTAGCAACTACTTCCTTTAATTCCGGTAGTAAACTGAGAACAGGAATCTTAAGATAAAGGCCAATAAAATTGCTCCAGTTTGGAATATACGCACGAGGTATCATTGCTCAAGTTACACTGGAAGTATTTTAAGCTGAATCGCGCGTAACGATAGTCCAAAATAGTTTGACTTTTATAGATTTATTTATTTTAATATCATCTGAACTGTTTGTGTAACAAACTCTCCTTCTGCGGTTTTGTTATACCATAGCACCCACAGAATTCTGCGAATCTTGACTGAAACTTGAAGTTCTTTTGACAAAGACATTTTCTTAGTTTAATGGCAGGCAGGAGGGACCTGAATTCCAGTCCTTGGCGCAAGGAAAGTTTTTGATGGTTAAATTGTTATTTTTAGATTTTTAGATGGGTAGTTACATAGCGTAGTTGTTGACAATCGCGCTGTAACATTACAAACTCCCTCTGCCTTGATTAATTATATAAATGTTTCCGTCCTTGCAGTTTTAAATTCTCACACAAATCAGAGGAGTTCATTAAATTGTACGACATACAGAAATCATAGCATGAAGGCGTCATCAGATCACTGAGAAACTTAGCAGAGACACACAAAATTGGATAAATTTTGGAAAGTTAAATTGCAAATATTACCGGCAAATATCCTTCACCGCAGTTTTCGAAACTGTAAACCATCCAAAAGCAAAAATAAACTTAATTCCTTTCAGTCTCAACATGATATCAAAATATGATACTCAGGTCAAATATTCTGATGGGATATACGATCCCGCCATGTAACTAGGTAAATAACAGCAACATGAAAGAAACTATTTGGAAATTTCCTTTTCGTTATAGCTATAAACTGAGTTTTCAGTTCTAGCAAGAA